TCATCTGAAAAACATTGTGGATTATGATTAGTAGAAGTGTGTTTGATTACTTAATGCTTGCCAGGGGATAAAAATATCATCAAGGGAATCCAATTATTATCTGCTTTGCTTTATTGTAGAATAGGCTATTACATTTTTGCTAGTCTTTACAACTTTTGAAGTTTTGAGCAGGTAATACTGCATTTATAGTGATGCAATATGTTATACAGGGAAAAAAAAATATTGATATAGTAATGGTTAACCAATATGGGTTTTTAATGGCTGATATCTAATGTACAGCGGTGGTTCTCAATTTGTTTTGCTTTACATTGGACATCAAACAAAGTACCAGGATTGTTTATCATTATACTGCTTAGGCGAACAATATGCAAAATTATTAACATGATGTAAACTGAAGTATTGTGTAAATACAAAAACAACAGCATAAATGTGATTCATCATCCAAACACATGGAACAAACACTGGACCAAATGTTGATTTAGCATTAGTCATATTACCAAGTGACAGATTTCACCATTTGATTGAATATACAGCCTTTGACGTCAACAACAAAAGAGATGAGAGGTTTTTTCTCCCCATTTTAAAGATTTATAAGCCTATTTAAGTATTGCATGATTATATACTTATTTGTACTTATTTATATACTTATCAGACCATGGCTCATTTTTATTTAGATTTATACAATATTTATTTATTTATTATTAAAATTAATTTTTAATTATGACATATTTCACTCAAAACTAGATAAAAATATTCTGTATTTTATATATTTTCTAATATTTTTGTGTTTTTTTCGGTAGATTACAGTTGTGACTTTTTCCACCGAACACAATTGGGACTCACTAGACTTTTACGATGGTGTCGACAGCAACGCTCCAAGACTAGGGAGCTATTCGGGTAAGGTGGAAACCATCTGGTTTTCTCCCTAAATTTGATACTCTTTTCCAAATAACCCAAGCACACCATGTTGACTTTCATATATTCTGCAAATACAGCTGTTGCGCAGTCATCCCTGGTGTTGTGTGGTGTTTTTACACACTCTAGTCAGTCTGAAGAAACTCAATGTATCACATCTGCGAAATAAGACTATTTTTTGTAACCTCATGCCGGCTGGCTTTCATCTTGAGACTTGTTTTGTCATCCAAAGCATATCAATATTTGAGCTGTTGTGGGATATCATGGATCAACAGCTTTATAAGCAGCAGCAGGAGTGAACTCCAAGTGTCAGAGTTTCCCTGGTGAGGCTCTTGATATAAGTATAAGTAGGAGACAGAATGATATCAGTGCTGCGCTGAGGACTCGAAAAGGCAGAGCCCTCAGAACTGATTTATTTTTCTGTCTGTTAGTATTTATCTATTTATTTATTTATTTTACATTATTTTTCTATTCTTTTTGCATATCTCTTGTTTTCTTTTTTTTTCTTTTTTTGGCAGAGCCATCAGAAGTGAAAGAATTATTTGCTGCCATATCCTATCAACCATTATTTTATTTTATGTATTTGTTTATTTATTTTACTTATTATAGAATTTTTTTCTCTTTTTTTCAGTTTCGTTTTGTTTGTTTTTATATCTTTTTTTTCAAACCTTTCTTTTTCGGCAGAGCCCTCAGATGTGAAAGACAGGCTTAAATTATTTTGCTACCATATCCTTTCAACCATTTTATATCCCCCCCAGAATGCAAAGCGCTTTGAGTGCTTAGAAAAGCGCTATATAAATGCAATGAATGATTTTATTTTATTTTATTTTATTCTATATTATTTACATTTTTGTATTAATTTGTTTATTTGTTTGTTTTTTCTTGCATTTTTCATATATTTTGGCTCAGCAAAAAAAAGTTTTTTTAAAATCTTTTAAGGGGCTGTATTGTTTGTTGTGTGTGCCATGTTGACTTTTTTCTTTTGGTTTAGACTTTTTATAGACTTTTCTCTTGCCATTTGCCACTGTATCCCCTCAACTATTTTTATTTTATTTGATTAATTAGTTCTATCATTCTGTAGTTCTATCTATCTATCTATCTATCTATCTGTCTGTCTGTCTGTCTGTCTGTCTA